AAACATGGTATCCAACACATAATTTGAAATAAATATTAAAACTTTCCCAATGCAACTTCAAGGAAAGAAGGAGAAAAAAATGAGAATGTGCACTTTGAAAAGATATGCTATACAATCTATTTAATGACATTCCCCACAATGATTTTAGGGAAAGTGGGTGGGTAGCAAAGGGATTTAATGTGTTAAATAATAATCAAAATAAAATAAGATTGGGGGGAAGGAAAAAAACCATTTAAAGATGTGTTGTTATCTTGATGGAGATGAAAAGGTGCCCAGGAGACTTGAGGAGAGGGAACTATAGTTAGAGTAGAAGATAATGGCACAGCATGGTCTCTGCTTTTTTGGACTTTATGTTAACTACTGCAGGATCAGAAGCTGGCTTAATGACTTTTCCAGGATTTGCCTGGCCCCTTTATCAGTTCACTCTAACAAGAACATAAGCCAGGAAAGCCTGAAAAATTGCTGCAGCCAAACATTCCCTCCCGCTGGGCTGCTGTTCGCAGCTCTGACCACTGGCCTTGACCTTTAGGGTTTATGCCTGGACAGAGACTTAGAGGACAACTCTTCAAGGTCAAACAAGTCAACAGTAGTCAGGGACTCTGAGAAAAAAGCAGGGGGCTCTAGGCGTCCTGACATATATGTTTTCTCTTGCCCATGCTATTTTGCTACTATGAAATGCTCTGCTAACAATAATTGAATTTGACAATAATTAATCACATGTTGAAACTGTATAGCTCACCTAAGGAATAGCAATGGAAATGGTGAAGACACCAGAAGCCAGAGTTCAGGAAATGTCATATTCACACAGAAATGCTTTAAATTTTTCTCAGAGCTTTATTGTCTTTTTTAAAGAAAGGTCCCAGACCACCCAGTGCACAGAGTCCATTTTGGGAACTGTACATAAAATCATCACTTTAACCCAGCTTTTGCCCCTGTGGTTCATACTATAGCTTTAAGCCTATAAACAAAGAAGGAACTGAACTTTCAGAAAAGAAAGAAAGAGCAAAACAGATGAATTCGTTCTTCTCTCTCCGTCCTTAGGAGCTGATCACACCCTAGTGGAGAGGATTTGTGAAATTTAAAAGGAAACTGTATCGTAGCCTTATTCCCGCACCCCCTCCCCACCGCTCCACACATGCTACAAGAAGGGCAGTTCCCGTGTCCTTGGAAGCATACAGCTTTCACAATCTCCGTTCTCTTCAGGTTAGCGGAAGCCTTATTTAAAGAAGCGTTTCCACGTTCTTGCTGTCATTCCAGAGCCACACACACTCCCATGCCAGGCCTCCCCATGCCACCTTTTAAGTATACCTTGTGCCCCAAACCTTGCAGAGTAAACCATTTACTATAACTTTCCTCACAACAGGAAGAGGTAAGAAAGACCTTCAGGAGGGGTGAAGTGTAAAAAAAGCTGGGATGTCCTTACTCTTTCCCTAGAAGTGGATGGGGGCACACGCATGTGGAATACTCTAGATGTTAGTTCAGTTGCAGCTGGCATAAAGAGCCACTATTTTGTTTTGATGGAACCTCATCCTTTCCCTTCACAAGGTCTTTTGGTCTAATTAAATTTCAGGGAGACAGAGCCTTGGCAGAAGGTTAAAGTAAGCTGCTAGACTGGAATGTAGGAGTTGGGCTCAAAACTAAATTGGGAAGTTTAACTGGGTGCGTCTCTGGTTTCAATGAAATACTTTTACAGTGTATGGTAGCAATGTCTGTTTCTAAGCTTTTGAAAACCATTTTTCTTTTTCCTTAATTGTAGTTCCCTAGTTGTTTTTATATTATGAGCTACTTGTAGAAAAATACAGGAAACATAATTGCAATACAAAGCTCCCTCTCCCAAGCCTACCGAGATCATTTGAAGCCAAACTTGGTTTTAGGGTTTTGCTAACTATAAGTTCAGAGCCATGAATTGCATCCTATGCAATGCTAGTTGATTTACAACAACTGTTATGTGATTAAACAATAACCATGTTTCTTCGGGCTGTGTAACTGCTACAGAATTTGAGGGAGAACTGTGTTGCTTCATTCCGCCACAGTTCACAGCTCCCTCTGGGGAAAAAGAATGAATATCTTTGTGTGACTTATAGTAAAATAGAAGTATTGTAGAACTATATACAAGTTTAGTTAGGAAAGGGAAAGAGAAATAATTTGTTTTTCCACTTGTATTTCCAGTTCCATGTGGCACTCTGTTAAATGGCTAATTATTAATTTTTGTATCCTACTTTTCCCAAAGAATCTGTATATGGACTTTTAAGGCCAGCAGAAATAACTTTTTTTTTTCACCACGATTAACACTCTGGAGAGGAAATCAGTACTTCAGTGTATTGTGAAATAGAAAGCCTTAGGGAGTTTGATTTATTCAACCTTAAAAAGTAATGATGGATGATTGAGAATGAGAGTTGTTGAATGTACTCTGTTAGGGTATAGTTTCAAGCAAACAGTGCAGACATTGAGAAGTAGCATCCAGACACCCTTTGGTAGCAAAGGCTTAGCAGTGAAGGGAAGCACCCAGGGCGTCCTGCCTTGTGGCCTTCCCACTATGGGTCTGTAACAAATCGCCCAGGCCAGCCTGCCTCTTTCCAGGGCAGTCTGGAGAAAATCAGTGGGGGACTGATTTCAACTGCAGCTTGAGTATCTGTTACTTTCCCACCATATAACTGGTTTTAGGTTGTTCTTTAATATTCTGTGTAGCTAAGGTAGTGCCTTAATGAGGTATTGATCCTGTTTAAAGTTCAGCTATTTTCATACTGCCTTCATATTCTTCCATTTGAGGGCTCATATTGTGTACTATTTGATGAATACATTTGTATATGGAAAAGCTAAATGTTTATCTTACCCCCAAAATGGTCTATTTCAAAGTGCTTTTCTTTCTTTTTTCTTCTGTCTTTTCTTCTTCTTTCCTCCCTTTCTTTCCTTCCTCCCTCCCTCCTTCTCTCTTTCCTTTTTTTGCAAGTACTCTTGAAATTCTCATTTCAGTTTTCTCCTAACTCAGTCTTCAAAGAGCTGTAATAAGACATTAGTGAGTGAGGGCTGAGATGCAGGATAAATTTATTCTCTGGTTTTCTTTTAGCCAGTTTTCCTTCCAAGGAAGTCTTTTAAATGGATGGAAACTCTACGAAGCCCTGGTGTGTTTGCAGCTTCCGCTCTGCGCTGGTAGAGCTGAGCGAACAGACTGTAGCACGGTCACAGGCATACTGTTTTATATGTTTTAGCATTTTGACAAGGCCCTGTTAGATGGGATGAGGATCAAGCAAATGGCGGCCCCAGCCTCTCCTACAGGAGCTGGACGTTCGTTTGAAAATTAACTTGATCCTCCAACGGAGCGCTTAGGGCAGGCACGCTGGGCACGCGGAGGAGAGCGACGGCGGCTGGAGACGCTGCCCAGTGCTTGCTCTTTAGAGCAGCGTTTTCAAAGTGCAGGTTGCGCCTCATTAGTGAGTCGCGGGATGAAGTAAGTGGGTCGAAATAAGCATTTTCTAAGGAGTGGAATAGAGCAGAATAGAATAGAAAAGACTGTTTTTGTGCCCCTGGACAGTCAGGGCGAGGACTGCTTCGTGAAACCAGTTTCGTTTTATGTGCATGTGGGTGTGTTGAATGAGTGTGAACTGCCTGCCTTTTCCAAGGGTCAAAAAAGCTCGAAGCCGCTGCCTGGGAAAAATTGCTCCGGGCTACCGGCAGAAGTTAACCACAGCTGGGTTAGAAAGAGGGGCGCGCAGCCCCCGCCTGGAACGAGGTCCCCCAGGACCGCGCGCCTCCACACTGAGGCTGGTGGCCTGGGATTGGACCCAGCGTGCCGGCCGGCCGGCGTGGGGCACAGGGCGTCTCCCTTCACCTGAGAGGAGCTGCAGGCGGAGGGCCGGGGG